GATGACAGCTTGCTGGCATGATTTCATTCCTGTCACATTTGTAAGTGAACTCAATTCTAGCATATATCTGCCTCAGTGCCCAGCAGATATGACTACTTATGGCACCCTCTTTTTAATGTTTTCACTTACTGCTAAATAATTTCGATGTCATTGCTTCAGATAGTTGCACCATCTTATGATTTTACACACTAATGTGAAACCACTGTATTATTCTGAAGAAAATCTTGGGATATAAGCAATGTTTTTGCCAGTGCACTTGTTATTCGATCTGAAGAAGTTGGTGGTAAATATTCAAATTTTGCACAAGTAAAGGATTTTGCTACACCACCCATGAGGTCATCATGAGTCTACCAGCAGTTTGGAGTACATGTGTATTTAGATTTCTTTCATTGCAGTCTGGAACTATAATGAAGTGGTAAAGAGCTAGATTTATTGAATTCAGTTTCACAGTTTACCCTGGTGGAACTTGAACCCATAACCAGTAGGTTGCTTGTCCATCATTGACTACAGTTCCAGTGCTGAAAAAGGTATGTAGATAAAACCCAGATTCAAAACAAATTGAGAGAACCGGAATCCTCATTTACAGGTTTTTTTATTACAGCAGAGGGCACTCCAGCCCTAAACTATTAATGTGACTGCACTGCTTCTTTCTTAGAAGGTTGTAGGCTGAGGACCCATTCTAGCCTGACACCCTGGGGTTGTACTGAGGAATTACTGTTGGAGGTGACAGTCTTTCAGTGAGATGTTTAAGTCTCTCAGTTCCTCTGAATGTTACAGATTTTATTGTAGTACTGAGATGAAAATTAAGAATTTCTTGGTCAACATTCTTCTCTCAATCAGTAACAAAAACTGGTTGTTCCTGTCCTCCCTGCTTCTGGGACATTGCTGGCATAGAATTGCTGCTGTATTCAGCTACGTAGCAACGATAGACTTTCAAAAGTAGTTCATTGTGTGTTGCGCTCTAGATAATTCAACTTGATCCAGTGCCAGGTTTCCGCAAGTCGACTATTATAAATAAGTGTCCATGGAGCTCTGAGTGTGCTGCAGATGTGATGTGGTGCATAGAACATGGTCAGATCTGAAATAGCTCAGTGACTACCGTAAAGCATCCAAATAAAACTGTGCTCAATACAACAGATAAGCATATCTTTGTAACAAGGGAAAAGTGATCCGTCATATCAGACTGTTAATTCCCCATTGATTAGTTTTTTTTTCTCTCATTTAACATTTTATCTATTAACCTAAGATGGAAATAACTAATTGTTATTTTTTATTTCCTCTTTACTGAAACCCTCTTCCCCACCTGCTGGTGGGATCTGTTGCAAGGATTCAGTTCCACAAATGGTTGCTGCCTTTTGACACTTCCTTGATTGGTTGTTTACTTTTAAGTCTTGACAGTAATTGGTGATAGATTATTTGACAAAAAAGGCATCAACCAGTGACCCTGAACCTCAGCTGACACCCATTTCCAAGAAGTAACTGGTTAGCTGATGGAACCCTGGTTAATCCTACCTTCCCAAACCAAAGCATAGAAGTTTGCTGTCGTAGGGCATAACTATTAGTTTATCCTAGAAAGCTAACTTTAAAGACTTGGAACTCAAACTGATTTTGTGATGTTTTAAAAACAGCTGAAAAAGCCCACGGAAAATGCTGAAGACTCAGCAGATCAGGCAGCATCTGTAAAGAAAGAAAACAGGAGAGGAATTTTCAATCATTATGTGCTTTACAGGTATCTCCAGATATTACACATGAGCATCTGAACAGGTCAAGGGAACAGAAAGAGAATGAGTGGCATTGGGTGATATGTTAGCCACGATAGAGGGTGGATATTTAGCAGGAAGTAGGTAATGGTGAACTGTGACCAGTGGAGTGTCGTAGGAATCGGTGTTGAGGCTTCAACTATTTCCAATCTATGTTAATGACCTTCAATGAAGCAACAGAATGTAGTGAACCAAATTTGCTGACCATGCAAAAAAAAGGTAGTAAAGCAAGTTTTGTGAAGAACATTGTCCTCTATCTTGATCCCACCTTTCTGATACCTGCTGCACTGCAAGACAGAACTTCTGACCCAACTCAAAGCCATGGGATTTTTTGACATAGATGAAGGAACATTTAAAACCTAGACTAATCAAGGTAGTGCGGGAGTGCTGGATACACTGGAAAAGATTGGCTGGCTAGTTGAGAGCTTCCAACGTTTTGAGAGTTTTGGATTTTCAGATTTCTAAAGAAATTAGTCTCTGACCCCCCTCCACCCCCTTATGATCAAAGTTGATCCAGGAGACCATAATCCTATTAATGTTAGCAAGAACCTATATTTTGTAAGAGGGGTCCTCCACTCTAGCCAGCAACAGATGTATCTCATTTGAAGGAATTCAGTTAATCAGTTGAGTAAGGCATTGCATTTCAGATGTAAATTAGATTCTGTTTTTATCTAGTTGGAAGGCACTAAAGTCTAATGCATATTGTGAAATTAAATAGTATGTCAGAAACCAAGGCAGCTATTTAATGCCAGCAAGCCATGAAATGAATGATCAGTTGGTCTATTTACAAGTTGATCTAAGGATGCCAGGAAGAACTCCCATATATTGTTATGGGATCAGGAACATCCATCTGCACAAACAGACTGTTTTAATGTCAGGCCCAAGCCAAATAAACTTTGCAAGTTATATTTTCAGATAGACTTTAATTGTTGGTTCAAAGTCCAAAGATCATAGGTTCCTGTGCCTTTTTTTGTAGCTTGGTAAATGTACCCACTCCCAGCTGAGATTGATTAATGACTGAATGTGGTTGACTCTCAACTGTCCTCTGTGAAATTAGGGATGGGCAATAAATACTGGCCTGGCCAGCAATGTTCACATCCTGTGAATGAATTTTTTAAAAAGTGGATATGGAATAGTGTTTAGGAAAATAACATGGATAGAGGAATTAGCTGTTGAGGTTTATTCTGATTTTAGCTTTTCCTGGTGATAGCTAAGGGTGTCAATACGGTCTATATGCAACTTCTTTAGTTATAATCCACTTTTGAAAGCCAAAATAAATTTTACTACCGTAAGTAGATACTTTTGTTCTATTGAAGACAGTGATCTGGGTTTCTTTCCAGGAGCTCAGAACTGATCTTTAGAATTCTTTTGTATGAAACCATGGCAATAAATTTATGAGGCATTGAAGAAAGCTTTTAAAATTTGTGAAGTTTTTGTTCAACAGTTTTTAAAAAGAAGAAAAGAAATTATTGGACAAAACAGAAAAGGTTGTTTGGCAAGTGGTCAAGAATTGTCCAATCATTTGATGGAGATCTGTTCCTTTCAAGAATTTTCCCTGCAGATCATCTACTTAATGTGCTAGAGACTCTTGGGTACTCTGATCACCATGAGCAATACTGTCTGGACCTCCACACTCCTGGTAGGGCTACCCATATCGTCATACAGTCTGAAAAGTCTTCAGTGGTAGAAGAAAGATAAAAGAAGTCAGTGTGTCTCACTGTCTGCAGGTTTGGAAGAAGGTTGCAATATCAAGGTGGTCCTGGTCATTGCTGTTATATGTGTTATTTAAATCTGACTACCAGCCCATCAAGGTCATGTGAACAATGGTGCCTACGTTAAATGAAGTTGCACATGGGCTTCTACAAGGATCCATCTGCGAAGTACTGTCATGTTGGAGGATTGGCAATGGGCAGGACAAGGAATCTAGGAGTGGATTCTGACAATTATCTTTTAGACTATGTATTGGGATTAACTAATTTTTGTAACGCTGTTTACTGCTTCAGTTGTTGAATAGCATTAGCACCTGAAGTATCCCAGAGGGCAGTATCCAACATATCTGAAACAAAAGATGAAATTACAGGCCATATACTGATAATGACATTCTACTGTGTTGTTCAACAATCAACATAAGGACACAGGACATCACTGCAGGATTTTGTTAGGGTAATGCTCTACCCCCAGCCTTCTTTAGCTGCTTCATCAATGACTTTCCCTCTCACAAAAAAGTCAGGTTTATGAACGATTGCTGATGATTGCACAATGTTTGCGATAATTTGTAACTCAACAACCGAAGCAAGCAGTCTGTGTCCATATGTACCTGGACAGCATGCAGGCCTAGGCTAATAAGTGGCAAATGCTAGGCAATGACCATCTCCAGCAAGATCTCGCAATCTAGCCATCATTGAATCCGCCTCTGTCAACATCCTGGTGGTTGCAATTGATTAGAAACTGAACTGGATCAGCCAATATAAATATTGTGGGTACAAAAGCAGGTCAGAGTAGTTTGTGACAAGTAACTCCCTTCCTGTCTCCCCCATTCTGTCCACCATCTACAAGGCAGATGATGCTACAAGGTCTCGAACGGAAACTGAAAAACAGAAATGTCACAATAGAAAAAGCCACAAGCATATATGGAAAGGCAAGTGTGAGGATTACACACAGAGTCTTCATTGGGATATGGACAAGTTAAGAGTGGGCAAAAACTTGCCAGATGGAAAGTGAGAAAGTGTAAGGTTGTATACATTTTGATAGGAAGGATAGTTGATTATTATTTAATGGAGAAAGCTGCAGCACAAAGAAGTGTGTGAATTACGAAAAGCTAGCATATAGGTTCGGCATGGAATAGGGAAGGCAAATGCAAAGTTGGCCTTTATTTCAAAAGGAATGTAATATACAAATAGGCATGTCTTTCTAAAACTGTACAAGGCACTTGTCATAACCACACCTAACTTTAAAAGGCTCAAGAAATTCTCTAATCCTGGTACCACTCCATGAAATGACCGCTATAACTTCTATGATGTAGAATACAAGAAGGAGGGCTCGGAGAGGAAAAAAAAATCTCCTCCAGTTTATGAACAGGAGCTTTTTTTTTCATAGTTGCTCTGTTTGGTTATTTGGTAAACATTAATATGCCTGTTTACTTTTCAGGCCAATTGACTTGAATGTCAAAAACAACGCTTTGCTGCATATTACTCAATCAGTTCAGCATGTGATGATATCCATTGCTTCTGTTCTTTTCAGTATTGTGCAGGATTCAGACAGAAACACAGAAAATGACATCTTTGATGAACCTTGTGGGGGTTCCAGTGGCCTCGATTGAGCTCACTAGGACAACAGTTTCTGTTGGACTATTTATGCTCTTCCTTTGTCTTCTATGCTGGTAAGTAATTTGAATGTTGCCTTTTTTGTTTTTGCGATTGTCATTTCTGATATAGCTTCTTGTCCATAGACAATTGGCTTTGGATGTGTGGCAGAAAGTTTCACATCATTCTGGTTGTCCACCTGACTCTCAAATAAACTGAAGTCACAAGTCGTGAGCCTACCACCATATTTTAGTTTAGCACTGTATGAAGAATGAGTGCAGTCTTATGTGAAATCATGTTTAGAAAGTTTCTTGCTGACAGATTGCAAGTGATCTACTTGCAGGAAACAGTACTTCAGTGAAATGCTCAGTGTTTTTAAAGTTTTTTCTTTATCTATTCTTTCATGGGATTTGAGCATCTCTGGCTAGGCTGCATAAGGAGGCATACGGAATGCTTGAATTTATCAATTGTGGCATAGATTATAAGAGCAGGGAAGTTATGTTGGAGCTACACAGAAGTCTGGTTAGGCCACAGCTGAAGTACAGTGTGCAGTCCTGGTCACCACTCTACAGGAAGGATGTGATTGCAGTGGAGGGGGTGCAAAAGAGATTTGCCAGGATATTGCCTGGGATGGAGCATTTCAGCGATAGAGAGGCTGGATGTTTTCTTTGTAGCAGAGAAGGTTGAAGGGGACCTGCTAGAGGTATAGAAGATTATGAGGAGCATAGACATCAGCTGTTTCTCTTAATTGAAGGGTCAATATCAAGGGGGATTAATTTTAAAGAGAAAGGCAAGAGGCTTAGAGGGGATTTGAGGTAAATGTTTTCATACAGATCATGATGGGGTCTGGAAGGAGCTGCATTGTAGTCGAGGCGGGAATCTTTCAAAAAGTACTTGAATGAAAACTTGAAGTATCGCAACTTCCAAGGCTGCGAGCCTGCTGCAGGAAAGTGAGACTAGTATAGGTAGTGGCGTAATTTTGATGGTTCAGATTCAAAGGACAAAGGGCTTCTTATGTACTAAATGATTCTATGCTGTGGATCTGGAATCACATGTAGGCCAAACCAGATAAGGACAGTGGATTTCATTTCTTAAAAAACATTAATGAACCAGATGGGTTTTACATGATATTTTATGGTTGCCATTAGACTAGCTTTCTTTCAACTTCCTTTTTTTATGGAATTCAAATTTTACGAGTTACCGAGGTGGGAGTCAAACACCTCCCCTGACCTTTAAGTCTGGGGCTCTGGATTACTGGCCCAGTAATATTTCCACAATGTTGTCGCCTCCCCACAGTTGAACAACAATAGAAGAGAATCACAGCGTTTCCCCTATACATTTCTGGGGAGTTGGTTAGCTCAGGGTGGCTGGTATGAAATAAGAGTGACATTGACTGGGTATATTCAGTTCCCTTACCAGATAATGTTAAAATGAAAGCCCTGACTTCTCAACCTCGCTTGACAAGTGATGACCTTCAAATAAAACTCACTACAAGTTATCTCTCTCTTTAATGAGAGAGAGCAGCCTATGATCCTTCTGCAACCATAGACATTTTCACTTTTCACTTCATCCTTCCAAGATTTATACTGGGCAACAGTTGACGATACTAAGTGCAGGACTCTGCAAATTGCAGCTGTCCTTAAAGGTTGATAACCAGGGGTCATGGATATAAAACTGAAACAGTTGTTAACATCTGAATGTTAGACTTGGTAGGGATGTGGAATTTTCTAAAAACAATTTGACATGCATTTAAATAGCACCAATTTTTTGAATGTGAACCTGTCCACTTGATCATCAGTGTTATAGATTCCAAACTGATGCCTGAGTACTTAAGTATGTGGACCTTGCACCTCCTGTTTTTGCCTTGCTGACTTGTTTTTAGCCATCTGCGATACAGCTCTGCTCTCAAGGCACTGCGTGATTGGCCATGGTGGATAGAAGTGCTCTGTAAGGCTCAGCACTTTCTTCTTGCTTTCTGTTCTCCATTCCCGATTTCCTGACCAATGTGACCCCCACCACCTTAGGAAATGCTGCATCTCCATTTTTTAAAGCTCCTCTCTGAGAATTAGGGACTCGCTATATGAACTGTGGAACCATGATTGCTAATGAGGTAATGAAGCATGAAAAAGGCAGTACATTAATCATGGGTGACTTTAGTTTTCATGTAGATTGGGAAAGGCAGATTGGCAGAGGTAGCCACGAGGAAGAATTCAGAGTATATTTGGGACATTTTCCTAGAACAATATGGTGTGGATCCAATCAAGGATCAAACTATTTTGGATCTACTGATGTGCAAAAGGCTGGTTTAATAAATGATCTCAGAGTAAACGATCCTGAGGAAACTGACTGTAACATGGTAGAATTTAACATTTCTTTTGGGTTGGAAAAAACTGCCAAACTTAAATTAGGGAAATTAAGAAGAAATGAGGGCACCTACCAACTTACTAACCCTATCCCTAATTCTCGGAGAGGAGCTTTAAAAAATGGAGATGCAGCATTTCCTAAGGTTGTGGGGGTCACAGTGGTCAGGAAATCGGGAATGGGGAACAGAAAGCAAGAAGAAAGTGCTGAGCCTTACGGAGCACTTCTATCCACCATGGCCAATGTTGTCCCGGTACTGTGTACAATTTTGGTTGCTCTGCTATAAGAGGGATATTAAATTGGAGAACGTTCAGAAAAGATTTACCAGGATGTTGCCAGGACTGTAGGGTTCGAGTTATAAAGAGAGGCTGGATAGGCTGGGACCTTTTACACTGGAACATAGGAGGTTAAGGGATGATCTTAGGAAGTTTATAAAATCATGAGGGGCATAGATAAGATGAATAGCAAGGGTCTTTTCCTTAGGGTAAGGGAGTTCAAAACTAAACAGCATATTTTTAAGGTGACAGAGAAAGATTTAAAAGGGACCTGAGGAGCAACCTTTTCACACAGAGGGTGTTTTGTATGTGGAATGAACTTTCAGAGGAAAGGTACAGTTACAATATTTAAAAGACATTTGGGTAAGTGCATGAATAGGAAAGGCATAGAGGGATATGGGCCAAATGCAGAAGGGGGACTAGTTTAGCTTGGGAAATTTGGTCAGTGTAGGCGAGTTGGACCAAAGGGTCTGTTTTATCCCAAATGAATCTATGATTCTGAGTGGACTGGGAAGCAGTTAAGAAGCAAAGATGGTTGAGGAACAATGGCAGATGTTCAACAAAGTAGTTCACGGCTCACAACAAAGATATGTCCCAGTGAGGAACAAGGATTCTAAGAAGGGTATAAGCTTGCCCTGGTGAACCAGGAAGTGAAGTATAGCATCAAATGAAAGAAAAAAAAAATGTAAAATGTGGCAAAGATTACTGGTAAACTAGAGGATTGGGAAAGGTTTAAAAACAACAAAAGATAACCTAAAACAGATGGAGTAGATTTTCTTTGAGGGTAAACTTGCAATTAATATCAAGATGGACAGCAAAAACTTCTTTAAATATATAAAGGAAGCAAGAGGCTAAACTTAACATGGGCCCTTTTGAGAATGAGGCTGGGGAAATAATAATGGGGAACCAAGGTGGAGGAGTTGAATAAATGCTTTGCATCAGTCTTCACAGAAGACACTTGTAGTATTCTAAAAATACTAAATAATTCATGGGCAGAAGGCAGAGAAGAAATAAATACAGTAACTATCACTATAGCGAAAGTGCTAGGGTCAATAACAGGGCTAAAGACCGATAAGTCCCTGGACCAGATGGGATGAATCCTCAGATATTAAAAGTAGCAGCTATGGAGACAGTAGATGTATTAATAAAAATCTTCCAAGAATTCTTAGGTTGTGGAAAAGTCCCAGAGGATTGGAAAACTGCCAATGTAATGTTTTTATTTATAAAGGGAAAGAAACAAAAATCAGGTAAGTTTAGGGCAGTTAGCTTAACGTCTATTATTGGGAAAATGTTCACACCTGTTATAAAGGATGCGATAATAGAGCAGGTGCCACACATTAAGCTACTTAATAAGATAAGAGCCCATGCTGTTAGAGGGTTAACTAACTAGTAGAAGACACAGGGTTGGAATGAGTTGGGAAGAGGGCATTTTCAGCATAGCAACATGTAACTGTTGGAGTGTTACTGGGGCCTTAATTATTTACAGTATATAGTTATGAATTGGATGAGAGAAATAAATGTGTCCTACCTACGTTTGTGGATGACACAAATATCGTTTTGAAGGCAGGTGGTGAGGATGATGTAAAGAGTCTGCAGAGGGATATCGATAGGTTGAGAGTGAGCAACAAATTAGCACATGGAATGTAATGTGGGAAAATGTGAGGTCATGCATTTTGGCGGGAAGGATAGAGGAGCTGAATATTATTTAACTGGAGAAAGACTGCAGAAAGCTAACAGTACAGAGGAATTTGGGGGTTCTAAAGCATAAATCACAAAAAGCTAACATACAAGTTCATCAGGCAGTAGTGGGGGCAAATGGAATGTTGGCCTTTAGTTCCACGGGAAATTGAGTATAAAAATAGGGAGAAATTATACCAGGCACAAGTTAGACCACAGGTAGAATATTGTGAACAGTTTGATTACCTTATTCAGAGGAAACAAAAGACCAAAAGCTTCCATTCAGATGGAGTGGAGAGTGTTCCTGATTATCTCGTCAATATTTATCTTCCAACCTCGGCTTATATGTCCGTTTCTCATTTTTTTGTAGCATCTGGTTAAGTGTATATGTTCTGTTTCCAGTTGTATAATAACAATGACCCTGCTTTCAGGCAACCTTGTAAAGACCTTTGCGATATCTGAGGCCTTGTATAGGTGAGAGTTTCCTTTCTTCTTTTTGCCCTAAACTACTTTCATTCCCATATTATCATTCGGCAGCCTCTCATTTACGTCGTGCTGCTTGAGTAATATCACATGCACATTGATGAGTTCACCGTTCTGACAGATTACTCTACCAGACATGAACTTGAACAGGCTCTGACAATATTCAGCACCAGTTGTGACTCCTAAGATACTGAAGGTGTTGTTCAAATGTAACAAAACTTGGTCTAATACCCAGGCTTGGGCTGAAAAGTGGAAGTAACATTTGTGCCAGACAAATGTCT